CATAAAATTTATGTCTTATTTATCTTCATTTTTATTTTCTCAAATTATCAGTTGTGATTTTTCTCTATCCGATAGCCGTAATCCGCAATAGCCTGAAGGCCTATGATTGTCCCTTATATTTTGGTTGGACCACAATCAGTTGATATCAGTGATAGTTGATGGGTGGTTGAAGTTGTGGTTTGGGTGGAATCATTTCAAGTTGCTGGAGTTTGGATTGCATAGGATAGATTCGTTTCTTGCCACTGTTTACCATAAGTGGTAATCAGATTTGAGTATATGTTTAGGGTGTTTAGTTCTTTTATATAGGCTGGGCTGACATTTGGGAGGTCACTTGGGTCGGGTTGGTTTTTTCTTAATTTTCCTTTTCGTTTTCACCAATTCCTCTTATGAGTTGGCTAGGAACATAAATTTTGCTATACCAAATTTGCCATCGTCACATCAAGAAATAAGGATGGCGAGGGTTTCATGGGATTATATCTAGCCATTGCTTCCTTGAAGCATGATGAACGATTAGTAATTACTCTATGGCAGGTTACTACTTTTATAGTTCAGAAGATTCTGTTAGATGATGTTGGCTTGGACTATATTTGCACTACTATAGAGCGATTTTTTGCAGATGGTTGAGTTTTGGAAAATATGGTTGCAGCAATTGCTGAGCAACCCTCTTTACGACTTTTAAAACACATAATTCGATGTCATCTTTGATTTTCAGATAATCCAAGGTTTGTTAGTCAAGTGAATATGTTATCACTTATGAAATTTTGGCTCTAACCTCTCCCTCTGTCTTTTTTTTCTATTCAGTACTCGCATTTTAGGTTTATGCTTTAAATTGACATGTTTTTGGGCCTGCCTTTTGCCACGTATGAATTATTGATTTGCCTTTTCATAATATGTTTGGGTTACCCTTTAAGAGATCTCTTCTTGTCCGTTTTATGGTTTACCGATCAAGAGTTCGGGTAGAAATCGACTATAGTTCCATTCAAGTCTTTGATAATGCAGTAATACTTAGACAAGCAATATCAATGGGATGAACTGGGAAATAGAAGATGTAATTATGGTAAGGTTGAATTCTAGAATTTGAGGGCATAGTGCAATAAATATGCAAGAAATAACATAAAACAGGGTTTATAGTTAAATTTTGAAATGTACTAAACAAAGGCAGATGAAAATTACACATTAAAAATATAAAGAGACATGCTTTGATATTTTGCATCATTAGACACGGGATGAAATTTATGGGCGTGCTCATAACATACTGTCCGATCTTACCGGCAACCTCTTAAAGAAGTTAAGAGGTACCGATGGAAGTTTGTGGCGGAACCTTGGATGCCTTAGAACATAAAGGCCTGTGAGAAGAGCCACGACTTGGAACAGAGTAACATAAAGAATGATAGCGATGATCAAACAGAATATCACGAATAGAGTGGTCGTTCTCGGATCCCTCCAGCTTAGCAGAGACTGGAATCTTTCCCCTTGAGTCGCCAGATCACCCGTTCACGGTCTGTACACTCCCTGCTATACTTCTGAGACGGTCGTATCTCATCCTGACGATATCCGTAGGACGGGAAGTGGGGAAGGTATCGAACTCTTCATCTCGTTCGTCAGGATGGGCAGCATCAGCATGAGAGAGCCGTGTGTCCATGTGAGGAGGGTGCATTGGCCGCCAACGGTAGTTCCAGATACCGATTAGGAAAAGGTAGAGAAAAACTGTGGGAAGTATTAGTTCAGGGTAAATAACTGATATAATGAGAATGATATGAATCAAAATGGTTGTTATAGGGTTTTTCCAATTGCAGATTTGATCAAACCAATTTCCAACCGCGATCATCCCACTTAGAACTGCCATAATCCGGAAGAAGTTTTCTTTGTTTCTCCTCATGTTCCACATATGCGAATCGACATCAAGCATGTACACCACAACTTCCTTCCTCAGTGGTGGCTCGGCCCGACTCAGCCTTTCTGAGACAATCTGCATAGCCTGGTGCCTCAAGCTCTCGAGCTGAACCACAGACAATGGATGGATTAGTGCATCTTAGGCAACAATGGTTGCGAATACGTATGCATCATGTTAATCAACGATGAGTAGGTGAATCTCACAGCCAATTGAACTTCACCAGTCTTTTTAACACTGGAAGAATGTAGCACCAATAGTGGATACGAGTTAGTATAAACCCTACTGGCTTAGAGTGTTGATAGCCAAATTCTTACCTACATGATTCTTACATCCTTCGTCCTTCCAGATCCCCTATTATCGAAAACCCCTATAGTAATGACAGTACAAGGATCAAAGACCTCCCAAGTGTATTGCTCATTTCTTCTTGGCATGAAGCTGTCAACAATTGTCCTAGTCCGGACCCATTTTTGCCCATACTTAGCCACACAATAAGCATCTGTTGTTCCTCGCCCCTCTTTCGTTTTCATCGACATCAGTCCGTGGGCACTTAGAATACCCAGTTCCAGAATATCGATATTCGGTTTCCATAGCTGTTTCGCAGTCGGCCTAAGATCACTGCTATAGTGCGTAGATTCATCCAAAACGTGATACCCTCCTTCTAAACACATTCTCAAGTGAATCCGACTTGCAAATTTCGTTTCTTTTTTCTATCCATCCACCATCACATGTTTCTTTAGATTGCACCACTGGCTTTTCACTGGTTTATGGTATGACCGTCTTTGAACAATCTGTAGAGGAATCATACACTTCCCCAAAGTTTCATCCTTGTTCGCCCTATCTTCGACGGTTAGAACCAAAGGCTCCTCGAAAGGTTCAGCAACAACAAACATAAAGTCCTCGTTCCACATCGGATTGATGGTCTTACTCGGAGATATTCTAGTTCTCAAAGCCTGATTTCCAGGAACAGCTTTGACAAATACTTCAGGGAACCTGTCTTTATCACTGAGTACCAAGTCTTGAGCTTCAATGATATTGACCCTCACATACCAGAGCTTGGGGGAAAGATAAACTTTCGATCGAATGTTCGCACACCGTTGGGACGAACCGATGCAACATCGGAATGCCAGGCATCGGGAAATGCCTCATCAGCTTGAGTTCCCATCCAAACAGCCAGCATGAGCTCTCCCTTGGATTTATTACCCCTGTAAAGTTTCAAGTATAACTCATATATATGAGATTGCTCTGACAATACTCCGACACGAGATCAAATAAAAGCGTTCGTGAATTAAGAGAAAATTTGAAGAATGGCGATGGAAGGCCTATCAATGTATTGATCTAGTTTCAGACGTTGCAACGTCTGCTGGTGTTTTGGCCAATTTATTTAGCTCTTAATGGGAAAGTGGGTTGGTGTTGGATATCCACCATCCACTTACCCTGAGCTAACATGCAGAGTTACCTTGGTGTAAACGACATTCTCCTAGGTTCATGTGGAGCCTAAGTGTGCGGGCATTAGGACCAAGTGGATGGTACAATGTCCTCTAGAATTATATCAGGGACAATTTGAGGTATGCGGTCTCATATCGCGCTCTTGGTTGAGGAGTGGGGTTGCAACCTAATATTCGTTATGCACCGCAGGATCTTCATTCTAAGAGTACTTGTGATTTTGAGATTACATTGTAGCTTGTGGATTAATACGAGATTTGTTTGGACATTTTGATATAAGATTCACTTGGAATGACTCTTGTCAAGTATGACAAATCTTTATTAAGGGTTAATCAGAGAAAAATCATTGAAAGAAAGGATAATCGGTCTGAAATTTATCCTATTCAAACATTGTACAATGTAATATTAGAATCGAGACGTTATATCCGTGACACGTATCACTCGTAACAACTTATTTTAGGAAGGGATACAAATATTTCAGGAGTTACACTACTGACTAAAAGATCGGATCAAAATGAGGGTAATGTAAAAAAGCAAGCTTCCAAATGATGATTAAAAAATTTGAAAACCGAAAGATTAGGCTATAAGTTATGTTTATACTATTTTATGTGTTTTGTCGTCTACAATTTAGATAATAATTTATATTTGTATCGTTTTTGTGTTATGTTTCAATGCACATAATATCATGCATATTTACAATATTCGAGTTAAATTTTGTATGCTAAAGTAATAAATTATAAAAAAAAAATACCCATTAGTAATTTTATTTCTGTACAGCGTTACACGGCCATCTGCCTCACGAACAAATAAAGAAAGAACATGTTAATCAATGTGGTTGGGCCCGACATGTTGGGATCAGCAAAAACACCTTTAGCATATGCTCATGGCAGACAGCACAACACCTAAAGCATGACATGCCTTGCCTTACCTCGTGCATTACAAAATAAAATGTCATTTTAACATCATATTTATTACTTCGAACATTTCAGCAGATAGCCACAGTTTCCATATTAAAACGTTGCCTAGAACCAAGTTGACAACACAGCTGCCAATATTAAGTACTCATAAGGATAAGTATATGACTTCAGGAACATTAAAAAAAATTAAACATACTCGTATCCGATACTCGAATCCCGGTAACATAGTATAAAACGTGGGAGCATATATATATATATATATATATATATATATATATATATATATATATATATCAGGCAGCAAAGGACTCGTCTTACAACAAGCAAAGGTGCAAGAATAGACCAACAATAAATACATATATCTCCAAAGGTACTATCCAAGAACGTGGCTTTCAGATGCAAATTGCCTATATATAATCCGATGCCATCGTAAGAAAAACAGTGTCTGAACTCTTAAAAGGCTTTCATAACTCGCAGTGCAGTTTGCCGGCACCGACTATAGTATATGAGGTCATTTCTAGTTTCGGTCCATGATAGCCTAAAAGCACTTCCCACCAAAGATAAGAGTTTGACAGCAAAATGATGCATTTACGAGAACACAAGGGAAGCCACATAGAAACACAAAGAACTTGAACACAATGCAAATGGAAGCAGAGGGACTTCGTACCGGGAAAAAAGGCTTAAAAGCCATCCATTAGTTGAACTGGATAGTATGCACCTATGTGGTGTTATAGCAGCCATCAAAATTTATGAGAATGGCGAAAGGAAGAGCTTGGCAATGTAATCCGGATGATATATTACATGAATCCCGTGACAATGTCGAATATAATAGCATTATCAAAAATTACAACAGCGCAATCAGTTCAAAAACCAAATAAAATAGAAACGCAATCAAAGATAAGGAATCACCAAAAGTGGTAGGAAACAATTACCTAGATGGAATATTAGATAAAAAGATTTACGAGGCCTCGCTTCTCATCTCATCATGTGTTTGGCAAAGTGAAAAAAGAAGACACCTATAGCGATAACCGCCACAACCTCACTTGCATTCAACGACTGCTTCAGCAGCTCGATGTGGCTTGCTTTTACGCCTACTCCCATTTTGCCGGAAACCATTAGACTTTGACGATTCATCGGTGCTCGATCTGGTGCCTAAGCCATTCTCTTCTTTGACCGAATCGGCCTTCTCTTTCACCTGCGATGCACGCTTTCTCTTTTTCCTGTTCTCCGCAGCAGGGGGACTATTTCTCTCATCGGTTGTTATATCAGCTTTTCCATTCTCGCCATCCCCATCAAGTTTTTCGACTTCTTCGTCTTTGATTTCATCTTTTAGCGGCTTTTGCGGCCTTCCCCTTCTCTTTTGCAAAGGAATTTTCTCTTCTTCACCACTCCCGGCGTCTTCATGGTTGCTAACGGTCAACTTTTTCCCCTTTCCTCTACCTCTACCCATACTATTAAACCCAACTAATGAATAGCTACCATAAAAATCAAGTTGCAGTCTGCCAAACCATAAATCCACAAATAAAAGAGCCTGGTTAAAAGAAGCTTCCACAAATGAACATTACAGATTCTCAAATACTTATAAATCTAGCAAAAATATATTATAATTGAAGTGATACCGATTCCTAGTTACAGTAATGAGAGAGCTTAATCGATTTCCAGAACATCAAAACAATTTCAAAGCTATATACAGGACATCTGAAGATGCATAATCCTGTCTTATGATTCTATTAGAGATGAGAAAAATAACTTTCTTTTTTCTTTTAAAGTTTCAAGTTTTAAAAATACCCAGAACTAAGAATTGAATTAGACCTATTTTCCAAACATTTCCACCACATCCAAGGGGGAATACAATGGATTTACAGCTACAAAGTACTCAGATTTACATGAATTCAAACTTAGTAAATATACCAAACGACAAACAGAAGAAACATAATAAGAAACTAGTAATAAAGTCACCAAGAATCAGAAAGTAAAAATAATTAAATAAAATGAAGATCAAACGAAAGGGCATATAAATTTCAAGCGAGATGAACATCAACAAAAAAGGATAGATAAGAAACAAAAGAGAATTCAAAGTTCAAACACAGAAAATAAAGATAGATTAGAAACAGAAAGATAGAGAGAGAGAGAGTAGTGGAACCAACCTGAAACGAACCAAAGTTAATATGAATCGTAATCAAGAAATCCATCAATTTGAATCTGTTCAAAACAAAGCAATCACACCCAGAACTTATCTTTTTCCACTTTTATGTTGAGAAAGTTAAATACTTGTGAAAGGAAAGAAAGTTCCAAGCTTTTAAAAGCTATGATCTGGAGAAGGAAAGCGTTAAAACCCAGATGAGAAAACAGATAGATTTGAAGAAAATAAGGTTATGTTGTTTCTCAATAACATGGTTAAGAGTGAAAGACAGAGAGAAAGAAGAGAGGCTGGAATAGTGATATTTGTTGATTGGGTTGTTTGGCTTTGGCTCTCCAGTTTTATGTGTTTGCTAATTGCTGTAATCCGGGTGTTTTGATTGGCGATGTGTAATAATATTGAATTGGTGAGGTTATTTTCGTAATTGACGGACGTAGAAGATCACACACTTATTTGTGTACTTTCTTCTTCCAGTGGGGTTTATGTTCCAACACGCTATAACCTTTGAGGGCCAATTGAATAATATATTCGCCGGAAAAACGTTTGTGACAAGTTAAATGGTTTAATTTTGATAGTGTAAATGAAATATTTTAGACAAAAAATATTTTATAATAAATTTTATAATTTTTTATCCGGATTATAAATTAAAAATATTAAGATGAAAAGATAATTTTATAACAATATTAATTTTTATAGTATAAAATTTAAAAAATAATTATAAATAAAATAATATATATTTATTTTAATTTGTTAAGCTATAAATTACAAATGGAATATATTTGAATAATAATAAATTTGAAACGAAACAGAATAGGACAGTATAATTGAATCGATTTTTGAGTTTCTTACTCAACTCTTCATATATCCTATTTTTCTGAAAATTTTCGTATACTGCTTCTTAGATCAGACCAGAAGAACATCCACAGAAGACCCTACGAATAAAAGTAAAAGCAAAGAACAAAAATAGCGTCAGATAATAGATATTATTAGCGAGTAAAAACACTTAAACCAAAACCATAGGAAAATTACTAATATAGACATTATACAACATTATCACCTTCTACCTCGTTTCCTAGCCCTTCCGTTATCGACGTTTTCTCTCCCTCTCTTTCCCCTCGACTCCGCCGCTGCCCTCTTCTTAAGCCTCCCCACCCCTCGCTTCCCCCTCCCCCCTCTTCCTCCCGAACTCCTCGTAACCCTCCCCTTCTCTTTACTCCCATCCTCTGAATCATCATTATCAACATCATCTTCGTCATCTCCTTTCTCCGACCATTCAGTCGGCGAATTCTGTTTCATTCTTTTCAAGAAACTTGCTGCTCCTTGTTTCTTTCTCGCCTTGCTGTTTTCTTTCTTGGTATCCACCTTCAGCTCCACGGCGTCATTTGAGCTGAGCTCGTTACCACCATACTCGTGATCTGAATCCCCACTCTTGCCGTTTGTCCTCAATGAGTTCCAACGCCCTGAAACCGCTCTTTCTTTACTTCTTTTCATCCTTATGCCGACGACAGCGTCGTTCTTAGTCGCGGCAAAAGAAATAGCATCGGCCTTCTTCTCCTTCGCCTTTGGTTTCTCTTCAACCACTCCTCTATCTCCTCTCTTAGAAGTAGCATTCTTGATTACTGCCTTGGAAGAAGCACGTTTACCGCACTGGACCATTGAAGAAGATTTGTTGGGTTTTGAGGGATCGTCTTGTTCCGGAAGCTTATGGTTCATTTTCTTTAAGACCAAAGCCCGGAGTTGTTCAGCAGCGGTACGTTCGGGTGAACTTTTCCGGTGAAAAACGATGATGTTGTTGAATAAGAGGAGGAGATCCCTGAAGAACTTTGTACTGCCCTCAGAGTAGACACCTTTATCAAGCCTGGATTGAATTCTTTGGAGATCCATGTGTTGCCTTATCAGGTTTTTGTATCTTCCAGACTCCTGCGAATTACAATCGTAAAATACTTATCATTAATTACTTATTTTATATATATATATATATATATATATATATATATAAGGGATGTGCTTATGCGGGTTCAATACCTCGGTTGGTGTTTTTATTTATATATATGTTGCTCAAAAATTAAATATAGAGTATAACTATATTCTTTCTAGAACATATAATTATACTGTTTTATAGTAGTAAGTGCATGTAGTAATAAGCGTACCTCATTGTATTTTACTGCTTTTTACTTATATCTTAAAATTAGCATAGGGGTTTAGGGTTCTATGGAAATTAGTAATACCTTCAAACAAAATAATTCGTCCGTGGAACCAGCCAACTATCTTATAAGCCGGGCCCCATCACCAAATATTTTTTTTAAATTCAAATATATTGTTGAAAAAAATTCAAATATTTTTTTTAACAAAGAAAAACAAACGGAACTATAGCCTGTACAGTATCTTTTCCATAAGATGCAAAAGGGTAGGAATAAGTGTCTAATATTGGTGTCTAAATTATACTTAAAATTAATTATTGGTGTTTAAATTTAAAAAAATAAGTGTCTAATATTTTTTTCGTTATATTTTAATTACCTACCATTAAAAAATTGTTAAATAACATGTATCATGTCTAGATTTTTAATTTATATATATATATATTTTAATAATATTTTATTTTTAAAAAATAAGAGAAATATAAACTCAACTTGTGTTATTTAATGATCTTTTAACGGTATACATCTAAAAGTATAACGGGAAAAATATTAAACATTTATTTTTAATAAAACACTTTAAACACTAAAAATCAATTCAAGATATACTACATGCACCCAAAAATGTATTAAGCCTATAAATAATACAAACAATTACTCAAAAACCTCCCGTGAGAGATCATCGTATTAAAAAGAAATGTATTTTTTTATAAAATAAGTTGACAAAATATATATCTAATGCGCATTAAATATTTGGGCTGCTCAAAATTGTTTGATCAGAATTAGATACTTTTTTTTTTCTAAATTTTATCGGAGTAGATATTTAATCCATTAATTATTATGAGTTTACGGTCTATTCACAGACTGCAATGTCCAACTTGGCAGTACCAGTTAATCTGATTTCTTATTTTTTTTAAAATTAATTTTTTATTTTCAATTCCTAAATTATTTCACCTTATTATTTTAGATCTCTAATTTTCTAAACTAGTTCACCCTAATATTTTAAATTACTTTTATAATTATAATTTTAAAAAAAATGTAAGTTTTATCTTAAACTTTTAAATTTTATGTTTGAATTATATAGGATGACTTTTAAATTTTATATTTTTATGTGATTATTCATATTAAAATATAATCATATAAAACATATAAAATTTAAAAATTCAAATTACATATCGAAACACAAAAAAATTTTATTGTTTAAAAAAAATCCGGATCTTCCAAATAAAAGAGGGAAGAAAAAAGTTTAGAAAATTAAAAGAAGCGAATTTATAATAAAAACGATAGTTTGTTAATGAAAAGTGGGTAAGACTCAGACACACATAAATGATTTATTATAATTAATTCAAGAGCCAATTTATAATAAGATAATTAGTTAGCAAAAAGTGGGTAATTTTTAGACATATACATATAATTTTTTTTATAATCAATTTAAAAAGAGAAGAATATGATCTTCTCTCATTTTGGTTTTTAAAAATGATTTTTATGTTTTTAAAAGGTTCTGCTTTTGATTTTTAAGTTTTAAGTTTATTTTAATTACTTTTTAGTTAAAGTTAATTTAGTTCTAGACACTGAATTTTGTTTTATGTTCACATTAAACAATATCAATTTAGATCTTAAAATTAGTTTAATTATGCAACTAGTTCATCAAGCCTTAAGTAAAGAATAGTTCGGCTTTAGGTCCATATTCAAATAATGCTGTGTTGATGTTTTATTACCTCCCCCAAAGCGCCACGTCAATCAAAAGTCTGGCCAAAATTACGGAAACCTCCAATGTTTTGTGACAAAAATCGGCAAGTTCTCAAAGAAGGTACGTGGCAGATTAAATGCCTTAAGTTTTTCCTTAATATTATTTTTATTTTTTATTATTTTCACTATAAGAATAAATATTTAGGATAATAGATAATAATATTCCTTATTCGGTGTTTGTAATATTAAATATTTTTTAAAAATTACCTGGCTCCGTTGGCGGCGGTCCAGAGCCGAGCCGAGCCGATGAGAGCGGATGATCCCGAGAAGCTTAACCATGGACTCAGGCTTCACCGCCGAGCCTCTTTTCTTGGCGGGAGAAACCTCGTCTCCCTCACGTTCCTCTCTGCTGCTGCACCCGCCCTTGCTACTACCACTGCACCATTTCTTCGACAAACTCGCAGAGCTTTGTACGTCACTCACCTGCCTCTTATTACCATGTTCTTCAACGTTTAACCGCTCGTTAACCGGTCCGTTCTCGGTTCGAACCGGATCGGCCTCGTCCTCACCTCTCGGTTCGACCGATTCTGTTGTAACTTCTTTTCTTTCTCCTACCAGTTCTCCGGCATCGTTTTGTTCGTCTTTAATAATAATAGTGGCCGACGTGGTCAACTCAGTTTTTTGACTGGTGGAGTTGGACTCGTTATATGATCTGTCATCGAGATTGCCGGAATCATCTCCGCCGGCGAGCGTACCGGCGATGAGACCCGACGGTAGAACATTCTGTCGGTCATCCAGATCTGTCTCCTCTTTAAAACACCTGTCCCTTTCCTCCATCAATATCTTGACCTTCATTTCCAACGACCTGTAAATCACCGGAAAAAAAGGAAACAACTTCTCAGATCTCAGCACAAGGGCGAGTAAACTACGTAAATCATTCGGGAAAAGGAATCGTCATTTGATTTCGTATATTTACACGATCGAAACGTCACGTTGTTGAACCTCGCGACGAAGCTCCTCGACGCGAATCTTTCGGAGCTGGTCAACCAAACTGGAGGAAGAATCGGCACCGGCTGGAGATATGAAGCGACGTTTAAGATCGGAAAACTTGTCCTTACAGAGTTGAGGAGTGAAGGAAGACGAGGAGATTCTCCGGCTCTGGAGTCCGAGGGCGATAGAGTCCCAGCTCTTAGTGCCGTGGCGGTTGACGGCACAGACGAGGAGGAGTTCCTCTAACGTACCCCAAGGTCGCGCGGTTGGCTCGTGTTCCCTAGCCATGGTACGCTCAAAGTAGCACCATCATCAATGTAATTTTGTGTTAAACAAAAAAAACTAGGGTTCTATTTTCAATTTTTTGTTTTGATTCTTCTGCTTCGCCGTTTTGATTGGTTCCTTTTATATTCTCCTCGTCCACACCTGTTAAATTGCTTTGCTTGTATGATCTTTATAAGGAAATTACATATCACCTTTATACAAATTTTGACATTTTAATAATATAAATTTAAATCTAAGTATTAGTCTTATTAGTTGTGAACAACTATTCCATGAGAATAATGAGGGTTCAAGGGTGCCGCTATTCAAATATATATATATATATATATATATATATATATTTAGTATATTATTATACAATGATTAGTAGTTTTTTAGAGTAAAATATAAAGGTGATTTAACTACATTTAAATTATTAAATTTTTGAAAAAATATAAAATAATTACTAAATTTATTAAATTATTAAAATTATTATAGTATTAAAATATAATTTTTAAAAATTTAATAATCAAAGTAATTATTTAAATATAATTTAATTAATTTTAATATGCATTATCCAAAATTTTATTATGGGAGTGGGCTGTGTGCGTTCACTAATGTTTGGGCCATTGGATTTCGATGACGGTAATTTTGGGTTCAAGCGTACTATTATGATATTTTGAGGAGAGCTATGTGACACGATGGGATCATTCCAACCGTGCCATAATATTTTTTTCCACATACACAAGTATCCAATCATAATACTAATTAATTTTATAATTTAAACATTATATAAGAAATAATACTCATTGAGTCAAAATCTGAGTATAATTTAATATTTATCTATTTCTTTAGACTCTTTAACCTTTCTTATAAGAATAATTGGATAATTAATTAAATTTTTTAAAGGGAGAGTTCGAATTTTATTGTATTAATAGTTGACACTAAAATCCTTAGGTTTAAATCCTATCGCTCTCTTATTTGGACAGTTGAAATAAATACACTGATTTAGCCAATTGATTTAATTTTAACCAATAATCCACATGCAGGCTTGCTCTTTCGTGAGCGATTATTCTATGCTTCTTTAATTAAATTTGACGATTTAAGATGTCTTTGTTGGCACCATAAATTAGAGCGGTCCCTGGTATGGGGGACTTGTGTGGTAATTTTAGCCACGCGAGGACCATATAACTGCATGGAATCTTTTGAATACTTCTTTGAAAAAATGCTGTACAAGTATGCATTCGATTGTGTATATATGAATTCAAGGATGCTCAAGTGTTACATTTACAATTTAAAGTTATTTTAATATTAGAAGTTTAAACCAATAAAAATACATTTTAAAAATTATTTGTAACATCCTCAGTACCGGGTTAGTGACTAAATTGTAAAATTTCAGAATTTGATGATTAAAGTAGAATAGTTTAATAGTTCAATGATTTATTTGGAAATATTTCCTGAAAGTTGTTAGTAATTATCAAAGGAATTAAAGGGCAAAATGGTCATTTGAGAATAAAGATATTTTCCCCCTTGATAAGAATGAATCACGGGGGGGGGGGGGGGAAGAGAGTTATCTGAAAACTCTCTTCTTCTTCTTGTTTTCTTCTTCCTCAGACGTGAGCTACCGAAGGCAAAGGTGAGTTTCTTTGTTAGCTAATTATTTGTTGATTTTAAGAGTGAGTTTTGATCATTTGGTGCTACTTAAGCTTAAGGAAAGCTTAAGTTGTCCTAAAATCAAAAGATGAAGAAGTTATGAAAGATTAAAGAGAATGGGGTTTTAAGTGAATTTCTGGAAAAGAGTTGATAGGTTGAATTTGCAACTAAATTTGACTTGTCATCAACTTAATTAAGATATATGAAGGGATAGAATTAGATTTAGAGCATCTTGAAAATTTGGTATGATTTTTGATTTCCATATGAAAAATGGAATTTTGAGGTTAAGAATGTATTGAATGAGTAGAAATTAGTTGAAGTATATGTACTTGAGTTAAGAATAGAAAAGAGAATGAAACATGAAGAATTTAAACTGAAAAGAATGAATTTTCGGGCTTAAAATACAATTTTCGGGCAAGGTACATCGGTACACATTCAACATGTACCGATGCATCAAGGATAAATTTCTAGAAATTATTCAGTGTGTATCGATGCACTCCTTTAAAATGAAAACATCGAATGCCATGAGTGCATCGATACACTATAGTGTGTACCGATACACTACAAAGGGAAAATGAAAATAGATCTTTATTTTAGTTTAAGAAATGAAAGATCAGAGTATGCCAAGTGGAATACTGATATGTATACTATATGTGTGATTATGTAGATATAGAACGTAATTCCGTTCTGGAACGATCAAAGAATTAGGATCGACTCAAAGTAAGCAATGCTAAGGTGAGTGCAATTTAATTTGTACTTATGTTATTGAATAAACATTTGCTTGTGATGGGACAGTGACGGAGTTACTATGGTAAGAAGTGACTCCTAAAATGTTATTTGATTTGTGATTCTTATGTGTGCATGAGTACATGGAAATGAGTATATGTTATTATATGTGACATGATCTACATGATTACATGTATATGTGATATGTGATACTGAACTACAGGAATATATGAATTATAATATAAGCTATGTGTTATTGACATAAGTGATTATACGAATATGTAATATAAGATATGTGAATCCAATAATAGTAAATACATGGAAATAATATATAATTAATGTGATATAAGTGATTATGTAAAATTGTGAGATAAGTTATATGGTATTGATATACAGACTATATGAAAGTATGTATATGAGTACATATATAAAGTTTATATGTTATTCTATGTGCTATGTGATGTATATGTGAACATATGTGAACAATATATAACATAAGTGGTTACATGAACATATGTAAAATAATAAAAACTATGAGACACGATCTACACAATTTCATGAATATATGATACATGTTATATGATATGAGATAGATGTTTACACATACATGTGGTATGTGATAGAAGATAATGAACATGTGATTATAAGAGAAACGATATGAATACATGAATTTATGCAACATAATGATATTGCCCATGATAGGTGATATGAGAGATATAGGTATAGTTGGCATGCCAAGAGTCGAGGATTACCTATGTCTTTCGGGACATATGGACATGATTATCTATGTCTTTCGGGACATATGGACATGATTACCTATGCCTTTCGGGATATATGGACAGGATTATCTATGTCTTTCGGGACATATGGTTATGATTACATATGTATTTCGGGACATATGAACAGGATTACCTATGTCTTTCGGGACATATGGACATGATTACCTCTGTCTTTCGGGACATATGGACAGGATTACCTGTAACATCCCAAACTATGTGTTAGTGACTAAATTGTAAAATTTCATAATTTAGTGATTAAAGTGGAAAAGTTGAAAGGTTCAATGATTTATTTAAAAGTATTTCCTGAAAGTTTTTAGTAATTATCAAAGGAAATAAAGGACAAAATGGTCATTGAACAAATAAAAGAATAAAATAATATTTGGGGGGTTATCTTATAACCCACGTGGAAGAGAAATGTGAGAAACAAATGTTTCCATACATTTCTCTTATCTTCTTCCCCTTCTTCACCGTGAAGCATACAAGCAAAGTGTTGAATTATGTTTTGATATAACAATTTAAGGCAAAATGATTTTTGGACTTGAATTGAATTTACAAAATGTTTTTGGACTTAATTGAATTTATTCATTGTTTTAAAAGGTTTAAAAAATAATTCAAAGTCCATTAAATTCGAATTTGAGCCAAAATGCTAAAGGGTGTCAAAGTGCATCCATGTACCCCTGCAGTGCATCCATGCATCCCTGCAGTGCATCCATGCACCTGCACTAGTGCATCGATGCACTATGCAGTGCATCCATGCACTCAAACACCGAATGCAATTAGTGCATCGATGCTTCCTTCTATACATCGATGCATAAAGGTTGTGCATCGATGCATCATGCTGTGCATCGATGCATCCTGCTGTGCATCGATGCATCCTACTATGCATCCATGCACGAAGGTTGCAACGACTAGTAACGGCTAGTTTATTTGAATTTAATGAAGGGGTATCGTTGCACCATGATAGTGCACCGATGCACGATATTATGGGCAGCCTTTTTGAGTAGAAAAATCATCCCCAAACGGTTCCAAAACATCCCCAACGTCTATATACAATATCAAACACATTCCAAGCTATAAATACAAGCTAAGGACACTTGAAGAAGGATGAGAACAACTATCAAAGCAATCAAACACAAGAGAAGAGTTTTTCATTCTTATTTCATCTTTCTCTTGTAAATATTTTGTTATTGTGAGCTCAATCTTATAAACACCTACCTTAGAGAGGTTTTCTTGTTTACTTATTTTATCATTTTGTAAAAGGGAAATGTTCTAGCTAATCCAGTGTAAAAGCTAGGGAAGGTTCTATTTTATCCTGAAAAAACTAGGGAGTTTGTAAGGTTACTCTTTGGCCTCAAAAGAAAAAACAAATTAGTGAATTTGTTGGAAAATCCTTAGTGTGGATAGCTAAGGTAGTGGACGTAGACTTTGATTGAGAAAGTCGAACCACTCTAAATCGCTGTGCAATTACTTTCAATTTTCTTCAAAATCTTCCACCAAAATTTTAATTGCCAATTCACCCCCCTCTTGGCTTTTGCAGAAAATTGAAAGTAATTGCACAGCGATTTATAGTGGTTCGACTTTCTCAAACAAAGTCTACGTCCACTACCTTAGCTATCCACACTAAGGATTTTCCAACAAATTCACTAATTTGTTCTTTCTTTTGAGGCCAAAGAGATAACCTTACAATTCCCTCAAGAGTATACCCCAACTCTTGAGAACACTCTTTTCTCAAAGAGAAGATTACAAATTTGCAAACTTACAAGAAAACCTCACAAGGTAAGATGTTTGCACAATTCTAGAACAAAGAAAAGAACACTCAAAGATGAATACAATTGAGCACAAAAAGTGTTCTTGAAAGCAAAATGAATATTGAATGAAAATAGGCTTGAAATGCTCAAACTTGAGGTTTGATGCTTTCTCTTTGATTCTCTCTTGATTCTAGTTGCTTGATATTTCTTGTTACTGATCAATGGCTTCT